AAAGATATTACTGAGAAACACTTTCTCGAAATTCGAGTAAAATAAACGATTGCCGTCTTCACTTAAATTTCGGATGGTCTACATTTTCTAAAATGTATTTATATTCCAAAAAACTTAAATTCGTGAAGGATTTTATTTAAACTCCCAGACCCCTTGGATAGCTTGTAATACTAATTTGTTTTTGGGAAAAGTGAACAGGCAGTTCTCCCATACGGACGTGGGTCGATCTGTCGATTATAATCAGTGAAAACAATTAGACGACCCATGAAAGTGTTAATGCTTAGTGAACGCATTATTATAGCTCCTACATCTTTTTAAAAGTCTGGTTACGCATACTCATCTACTGTAGTAGGGCTACATCGTATGCGGACATCCACCTTCGACGACCCAAAGCGTAATGCCCTCACGTCATATTATAACCGGAATCCAATTCGCACGAATGCAGACTTATTTCAATTAAATATCTACGATACCATCTCATTTTTTCCAAAACATAGTGAAATTCTGTTTGGAAATGACACGCACAGAACATTATTCATTAAACCTACACAAGGTGGTTCATGCATACATCGCATTAATTTAGGAAAATTATCAAGTATCATTGTGTTTACCGCCCTCATGTGAATTCTGAATTTCTTATAGCTTTCGTCATACCAATTAATTCTTGCAACTCAATTCTTGACGTTGGACATACATCACATACTGACAAAAAGTGATAGATGACTTTTTATAAAATAAAAACAACCCTCAATCAATATTTCGTATGACCTCTTTCACTACTCATGCACTTTATCATACTCAATAAAAAAATAATTACGAGTAAAAAATACAGACATCACAAAATAAACTGACACACAATTCAAGATGTATGTGAAAACCTGCTTGTACATGAACAACTATATAACAGAGCATACAATGAATATGATCAACACATAATAATAATAATAATAATAATAATAATAATAATAATAATAATAATAATAATAATAATAATAATAAATAATAATAATAAAAATAAATAATAATAATAATAATAATAACAATAACAATAATAGCAACAACAAAACAACAACACTATAGGCATGTTAACATAAGATATTATATTATTAATATTGATAGATATTTTGTTTTATCTAACTTGGATATGAAACAACACTTTGCAGGTAACCCGGGCTCCTGTAGTTTACATTGGCTCCGCTTGTATCGTTTTTAAACTTACATTTTAATAGATTGTAAGAATTGAAGTGTTCGATATTTTTAAAGAATTGGACAATTTTTTTAATACACTAATTCAGTCGTACAATATTTCACTTTGATTGATTTTTTTTTATATAGGCCTATTATTTTATTTCAACCATCTAACAGAAAGGACGTTTCCACATAAAAATAACGATTCACAGTCATAGTTTATTCATAATTAATATGTATATTTTTATATTCATGTATTGTTGACCTTTTAATAATAATAATAATAATAATAATAATAATAATAATAATAATGATAATAATAATAATATCATTACAATCAATGCTATTATTATTGTTGGGACTGACATTATTATATAATTGCAACATTATAGTGGCCACAATGGCAAAAATTTTAAGCGTCGGTAGCAAAATGACGTTTTAATATCGATTTTCTTTCGCTACATATGATTTATCTAAAGACAAGGTAAATATATGTTACATTTATTTATAAACTTTTTTTCCCTCGTCAATCTGATGGTCTGCAATTCCGTCAGTCTCCACCCTCATGAGCGTATGACAGAGACGCATTTGTAGTCATATATTATATTTATTTTGACAAACTAGCAATAGTCACGTGATTAATATAGTAACATTTATCATTCTTGTGATGGTTAATTATCGATCCATTTAGTGTGACTTTTGATCTTAATAATTATTCTATAGATAGTTTGTTTCTGAAAAAAAGAAAAATAATTAGTCGCCAATGTAATCTTAAAAATACAATAGTATCAACTGGGTGAGCAGTACCAATTCTCATCGGCATTCTCCACATCAATGAACATTGTTACGTAGATTAAGTGCTAAGGAAATGGATTCTGTGCTCAAATGATTTATAATAGTTTATTATTGCAGGTGCGTTACCCAGAATAATGAAGCTTAATGCTTCCCAATTTCCAGAGTAGGTCTAATTACATAGGCCTATTTAGAAAAATATATAAATACAGAGCAATTCTGATCATTTTCTTGTACCGTTCTTTAAAAATATCTCAAAGTTTTGTTTTTTCTTCTCTTTTGTAGGGTAACCCATATTATTCAACATTGTTTTCTATACTATACAATAACATTATATCCTGTAATTATAATAAAATTATTATATTGTATATAATAAATAAAAATAATTGCTTTTACAGAATTCATAATTTGTTTTCTTTAGTTGAATATTTATCTAAGCTTACTTATTGCTTTTATGTGGATTTACATTTCATTTCAATACATTGTCACATTATTTGTTGCATATTAACCATTCAAAGTATAATTATAACAATCATATCTGTATAGTTGTTACCTGAAATGCAATAGTTTCTTTAGTTAAATATTTTAATTCATTGTTTTTATGTGGATTTATATTTCATTTCAATACATTATCACATGAATTGTTGCACATCAACTTTTTCGTAATGACTACATAATAGATACACGTCACACGAACGAATTTAATTGAATATGATTGACTTAATTATGCCTATGGGTTGCTATCTTGAAATCGATTAGATCTAAGGATGTTGATGTTATTGCGTCACGTCTAAATAGAGATTTTAATGCGGAGTACATGTGGCGGTATCGGGGTTGTTTGGGAATAGTAAAGGCCTGTTTATACTTCAACGATAACGATAAAAAAAGCTAAAAAGCAATTGTTCATATAAAAAATAAAAGAAATAAGAGAGGTTTTTACACTAGAACGAATCAATAACGATTTATCAGTTATGCGATAACAACATATTTTGACAAATCAAATCAGATGACGTCATAATCATGGAAAAATATTAAAATCGTAGTAGTAGCAACGATTTTATCGATTTTTTATTTATTGATTTGGTTTGTTAAACTATTTTGTTATCGTTTACGCGATAAATCGTTATCGAATCGTTCTAGTGTAAAAACCTCTCTTATTTCATTTATTTTCTATATGAACAATTGGTTTGTGAGGCTTCTCTAATTGAAACAAATAATCTATATAATTTACATATGCCACATAGATACTTTTCAGTAAATTTAACAATCTAAAAAATCTTAAGCCTTAAGATTGATGACATCATTTTTTTAAATTATTATTATGTTTACTGGTATAAAGCGAAATAAATTGTTATCCTATTGACTAATTTACTCTCTGTTGAGTAAAGAAAGACTTATGGATGTTTGTAAGCCTAAACCATTTCTGGAAATTTCATTATTCAGATGGAGGCATTTTAAAATGCGTTTCTTATAGTAGTAATATTATCGATGTAAATATAGGCCTAATATTCATTAGCCAAATAATGTTTTGCCAACTTTCCAGTTACTAGGCACTTTATATACTTACAATCATTGAGGAAAACAACTTTTGGTATAGACATATAAAATGTTCACATTAGAAAGCAGACAAAGGCCTAACAACTAAAATACTATTTACAATGAATAAAGTCGCAGGCGACGAGAAGGGGGAAACAGGTGAACAAAGTGTGAACCTCCGCTGGTTGTTAGAGTCTAACATTTAAAATACCACATAGGCCTATTGTACAAGCAAACAAAATAACCCTGCAAAGAAAATGTTACTCGGGGAGAGAGATTTTGTTGAGGATAGTGGTATAAAACAACGTATTATCATCAATATATACATTTTCCATTTGTTTTTATTATTTCTCTTGTTTCTATGTTCGAGTATATTAAATAAGCCTAACATAGAGAAGTGATTCACAGATAAATATATCCGTTGGGGAAACTATCGAGCACGAAATAGTAGTGAAGCAATGTTTATTAAGATAATAGGCCTAGTTGAATAACTAAAGTGGAGGAGGATCCTGTATTCATGTTTCGGTTATTGAAAGTTTAGGCATGTGACCATTGAGAAAATAGAACACATAGTGTGAAGTACCGGTATGTTAGATAATTAGTTCGGGTGTAGTTTCCAAATACTCACACTTCTCGATATACCCACGCTAGCAGGACAAACAAAACTCGAGGAAAAGTTAGAAAAGATTTCCAGTATCTGGTTTTACATGTCTATGTCAATCAAATTTACAGCCACCTAAGAATTTCATCATTATAATGAAAAACATTAATGAGGTATATTATTCCTTTTCTTCGTAGGAAGGAGGTAGAATAGATAGTAAGACTACTATTACTCAGGGGCGGATCCAAGGACGTCCGAAAAGGAAGGGCCGAAAGTGGGGCCGATCGAGACAACACTACTGTAGGTGGGGGTGGGGGGGGGTCCAGGGGCTTGCCCCGCCAAATTTTTGTTTTGTAGACGCCCGAAAATAACCTCTGAGGCGTTTGGAGCGATCAAATATTTCTTTTTCCTTCCTTCTTTTTGTTTTATACTTTTCAAAACGGGGGGCCGGGGTCGGCCCGGTCCCCTTCTAAATCCGCCCTTGTTACTCATCACCCCTACCAACCCTGGTTCATCTACTCCTGCGTGTTTCCCAACATAATACATCAATCAACAAATTATCTACGCCTAGGCCCATTGTTTAGTGTTTCCAAAAGTGTTATATATATAACATTCATCAACCACCGGATTAAACATAAGTACTTTCGAGTGCTCTCTGCCACGCTCATCAAATCACTCATGTCTATACAATTTGCACAAACAGAACCGAAATAGTAACAAACGATTTCTTCCAAACTTAGACCTAGTATGTCAATGTTGATTCGGAAGATAAGAACCAATAGTACGTATGCATTCTAACAATCCCTTGTTAGTTCCTTTGTAATGTAAACATTTTAGGTCACTAAGATAATTTAAGCCTACTACTCCACTGTTTCTTTGAGGGGCTTAAATAAACTGGGGGATTTTTCCAACATCTCGAACGGTGTCGTTATCAGTGCAGAACCCATTTCCAGCCTTGGCTTCCGATTCTTTTTCTAATCATTTATAATGCACACGCGACGAGGGTGATCACGTGAACATCTAAGCAAATTTCCAACCAGTTTGTCTTTCATTAGATCTGTCTTTTTGTAAGGTTAACTTTAACCTAGAAGGTGGGTACAGCGGTAATCAGTTTGTAGAGTAATTGTTTGATTTAAACCATCGAAACTGAAACGATACAGTGAGTTGCCGAAAAATACCGAGGCATGTTACATCGGATTCAATGTATGACTTATGATTGTGAGTACAGTAATGTACATTAGGTGCGATATTTTTTGGTCTATATTGTCACTTGCACACCAGATATAGCCAGACACTAGACACTATAGGATGATGTTTAAAGGCATATTATATTGACGGCGCTTAAACTATAATTTTCATATAGGCATAGTAGAAACACTCGTCCACACTTCTTCCATTAGGTCAGGTAGCTCTATTATTACATATAAATGTGAACTTAAAACTTATCTCTTTAACAGCTTCCCTTCTTAACATACATTGCACTTTTGATCATTATTCCTGGAATTGGCGCATTACACGTTTTTATTATTATTATTATTATTATTATTATTATTGTTGTTGTTGTTGTTATTGTTGTTTTTATTAATATTATTATTATTACTATTATTATTATTATTATTATTATATTATTATTATTATTATTATTATTATTATTATTATGCTGAACAGGCGATTACGAGCACCAGCATAGAATGAAGAGAATAAAGAATTGTTACGAAGTCCGGAGATTGTCGCATGACAGAGTTTGACAATAATAATAATAATAATAATAATAATAATAATAATAATAATAATAATAATAATAATAATAATAATATTAATAATAATAATGATAATAATAATAATAATAATAATAATAATAATAATAATAATAATAATAATAATAATAATAGAACTTGGACCATAATTCAATAGCCATACTTAGTAACCATTCAATTTATTAAGATCTTGTCAAGGAAGAGCAAATATTTAATATTTTCCAGATCTTAGCAACGCGGTAATTTCATCAAAAGTGTGATGTATGAAAAATTAAATATTTATAGAAAATGCTACGTTGGTCTACCTCATATAACGTCAAAGTAAAACACTTCGACCTACATATGAATTAGATCAAGATAAAGACGTTAACATCATTTCGAAATTATCTAAATATCATTTTACCTCCTTGCTTCACGTACAAAGCAGCTGTTCCAATGTTCGGTCATAGTTGCCACACTGTTTATAATATATGTGGTTCATTGAACACTTTTGAGTGCAATATAAATTTACAGCAAATGACACCTAATCGACTGAGCCTATCATTTCGACCTATGCCAATTAATAATTGAGGGAGCATGAGAAATAAGGAATCATAGTATAGAAAAAAAACGGAAGCAAATTGTGTTGTAATTAGAGCTAGAGAGAAGGGTAAAATGAAATTAATATTAAGTACAGTACACGGAAGTGAAAGCGGGTGGTGGCGGAAGAGGAGAGGGTGCCGTGGTGCGCGTGACCTTGCTTTGAGTATTTTTGTCATATATTTTATTAACGATCTTATTTTGTTATTATGTTTGAAACTTGCGTATTTCTAAGTTTTCTAAGATTTTACAATAAACTGTGGCATCGTTTTAGTGCTGTTGTTAAATTAATACAATATGCTTATTTAATTATCGAGAGTATGAATGAATTAAAGGGAAAAAATTAAGCCGAAGGTCGATAATGTTAATTCTAGTTGTGCAGAAAACAGGAACAAAAAAATAACAAAATAGATAGACGTAATTTTAGAGACAATTTTTTGTAGATAAATTCTTATTAGTAAAACTAATAGTGTATACAGACAGTAGCCTATATCCAGTTAACGATGTACCGTATTCGATACAATAAGCACCAGACATTATGCACTAAATGTACATAAAACAATAATCCTTATGTTTTAGGGCTTTTATTTATTAAATTATGAAATTTCAGTTCGAATCTAATTACTATGTTTTCACGTAAGATGTAGCTACACCTGATAAGCATATTTCAAATGAGGACGCGTTCTAAATTTTCGAATAAGTTTTTGTATAACAGTGGATCAAGGAGCAGACGATTGTCTCGATGCCGACTGCTCACTTTATTCGTGTAGTGTCAAATGCTGTGCTGTACGATAGTCTAGAAGAGGACTTATTTCCAGTGGGGTCCTTCTGGTGGTGATTGGGCAGTGCAGCGGGCGCCGAGACAATCCCCTACTATTTTTTCGAAGAGTGCGTTCTTTAACGTGCACATGGGATATAAATGCACACGGGACCAACGGCTTAAATGTCTGGAAAACACAAGGAGAGGCAGCGATGGGAATTGAACCGGGGACCTAAAGATCTCCACGGTTTAGTGCACACAGTGAAATGTATTACTATAAGACAGTAATAATCACCATTACCAATGCAGGCCTACCTTATTATATTAGTTGACGCACCGGTATCTGAATAATATCTGAATAAATTCAAGGCGACATACTACTTGTTTTGACAGAGAGTGATTAAATTGATAATTTACGAATTGTAATTAATTCCATCAAGAATAAAAATGGAGCCAGTTGAGCAAATTATCAACCAAATTATGCACAGTATGTAATACTAGATCCTAACTACAATGTCATTTAATACTGTTGTCTATAACACTCATTCATTGTCCTAGAAAACTAACCTTTATGATCGTACACAAGGGAAAGAACACTTTATTTAGTTAAACCTTTGATTACTACTTGACCGTGATTCGCTAAGGCTTATTTTGCCTTTATTTACCTAGACAATCCCCATGTTAGCAGTTAGTATGTAGCTCATAATGGAAGTTCGTGTTTATATAACTAGTTGAGAAATTGGATTTATGAATAGTGATGTTTATCTACTTTCTTTAGACACGTATCCCTTTGCGTCTCATCTACCCCGGGGACAAGTAACGCTATGGTGGATTGTCCTGACAACGGCAAACAAACTAGCGATGCACTTTGGTCACGAACTGATGTTCTGTCAGAGGCCCGTGAAAGAATTCTTTTGAAAAGACAATTACGGCACAGGACTGCGCGCTTAAACAAACGATGTGAGGTCGATACTGATGATTGTCCAAGATATAGAAAATCGAACAGTGCTAGACAATCATTTCCTCAAGCCGATTCTGAATTGCTGCAGGAATTAATACCTCCCCGGTCATATTCGGCACCGTACAGCTACAATCTATATGACGATATCTGGAAAATTATTGGTCTCGGCCCACCAAGGCCCGCATTTTCAAACATGACCAGAGAATTTTTAGATAAACAGTCTAAACACAGAAGCTCGATAAAGGAAGAAGCAAAACATTCGAGTGAAGCACAAGAAGTAATTCACCAGTTGAGACCCGATGCGACAAGTATAAGTGATATCCTGCAACGAGCTGCCCCACTGGAAAGCATTAACGGTTTACAACATGAGACGCTACATACGGACAATGAACAACTTGAGAACACTTCAGAATGTAAGTATGATACAAAAGAAGTTCAAAAAATAGAAAAATACTCAACTCAAGACAACACTATAGAATTGGAACTGACAAATGCGATGGATGCACAAGAACATAATAGAATTAAAACAAAACGTAGAAAGAAGAAGCGACGTTTTGACTGGAAATCGAGAACTAATTATTCAAATGAAGTTAAAAAAACGAGAAACTCACTTAAGTCTACGACGAAAAATTTAAACCACCGTTCCAATCCACGAGAACAAAAGTGTCCTCAGACTACAATAACTGAACAAAATATGTACCTTGGAAATAATTTTAAGGACAAGCAAATGACCCTCGATAAATGTACATCCACGTTGCCTCTCATCACGCCAGAGAGGTTGATACGCGAAAAATCATTTCAGATGACGTACCCTGGTTATGATGTTCGCTTTAAAGAACCGATTTTAACCCGAGAGCCAACAAATCCGGGAGTTGACAAGCAAATACAGAAGGACATCAGAGATTCGTCAATTGAAAAATGTCGTATGTGGTTGAAAAACTGGGCAATTAATTAATCTGGCATTTAATTAAATAATTTAAGAACTTTCACAACATTTTGCAACGGTTATCCTTCATCTTAATTCATAGTGAGCTTAAGATATCCGTTTTCTTTCTAAACATCTCTCTCGACAACAATGCTATTCGTAGGCATTATGATAATATTTTAAGTGTGGATCGTTCAAATTTCCACAGGAACTTTTCCCGATGTAAAGACTATAGCATTCCCGTAAAACGATTTAAACATTTTTTATTTTGATACTGTCAAATTGTTAAATCAACGCCGCACAATATATATAAT